TGTGCACCAGATTTGCCTAATGCAATACGTTGCTTGATTTCTTGAATGCTGCTTTCATGAGTGTTGATAGTTGATCCAAGAAGAATGAAGTCCTTGACAACTTCAATCTTTTCTCCATTGACAAGAATGTTGTCTATCGGTCCAGTGGTGAGGATTTTTGTTTTCTTTACATTGAGATATAATCCATACGGAAGGCTGTGCTCTTTGATCTTCATCAGTGAATATTTTAAGTCCTCTTCACTTTCAGCAAGCAAGGTTGTATCATCTGCATATTGCAGGTTGCTAATGAGTCTTCCTCCAATCCTGATACCACGTTTTTCTTCACATAACCCAGCTTCTCAAATTATTTGCTCAGCATACAGGTTGAATAAGTATGGTGAAAGAATACAACCTGTTGCACACCTTTCTATAATTTTGAACCATTCAGTGTTCCCATGTTTTGTTTGAACAACTGCCTCTTGGTCCATGTACAGATTCCTCATGAGTATAATTAAGTGTTCCGGAATACTCATAATTCGCAATGTTGTCTATAGCTTGTCATGATCCACACAATCGAAAGTCACTCCTTGGAAACCCTACATATGGTTGCTATGAGTTGGAACCAACTCAAAAGACAACAACAATATGGCACAGTGGGTTAGGTGTTGTCTGCTCACTGTAAGGTCAGCAGTTCAAACTCAGCAGCCACTCCATGGGAGAAAGATGAGACTGTGTGCTTACGTAAAAATTTAGAGTTTTGGAAATATTACATAGGTACCCTATGAGTCACAATCAACACGATGGTTGTGGGGTTTTTTGGTTTTAATGGCAGATAAGTAGTCCCTGGGTGGTGCAAAGGAGTGACAAATCTCTGTTAACAGAAAGGTTGGTGGTTCAAGTCTACCCACAGGTGCCTCAGAAGAAAGGCCTGGCAATTAATCACCAAAAATCAGTCTATAGGTTTTGAAAACCTGATGAAACACAGTTCTACTCAGACACAGTAGCTCACAATGGTTTGGTTAATGGTGTCAAACACCTTTTCATGTGTTTGTGTGCCATCTGTAAATTTTTGGTGATATTTACGCACATTAAAAAACCTTTTGAGATGGAAAAAAATGATCATTAATTTTATATGGAAAGGAAAGAGACCTCAGATAAACAAAGCACTGCTTAAGAACAAAGTAGGAGGCCTCTCACTCCCTGATTTCAAAATCTACACAGCCACAGTGGCCAAAACAGCTTGGCACTGGTACAATGGAAGATATATAAATCAATGGAACAGATTGAAAATTCAAAAGTAAATGCATCCGCATACAATCAGCTGATTTTTAACAAAGGGCCAAAGTATATTAAATGGGAAAGAGATAGTACTGGCAAGCCTAGAAATCTATTTTCAGAAGACTGAAACAAGATCCATATCCCACACCATATACAAAAACAAACTCAATGTGGACTAAAAACCTAAATGTGAAACTCAGAGGTATAAATAGCATCAATGAAAAAAATAGGGACAAACTTAGGGGATCTAATACATGGCATAAATATACTATGAACCATTACAAAAATCGCAAACAGTAAGAAGACAAAATACATGACTGGAACCTCCTAAAAACTAAGACACTTCCATACATCAAAAGAGTAAAAAGAGGAACCAACAAACTGGGGAAAAATTGTTTGCGTATCAGACAAGGGACTAATCTCTGAAATGGACAGAAAACTATAATACCTGTACAAGAAAAAGAAAAACAACTCAATTAAAAAATGGGCACAGGACATGAACAG